AGACTGATTCTAAATGTAACAGATGATAGAAATCTCTGTGAAGTGGGACTAATTCAGTATTTTATCAAAGAATTTAATCCCTCTGAAGGAATGTTCCTGTCTCTTCCAATTTAACAATAATTAGAAAGGCATCTGTTAGGAGTATGCTATTCAAAATGTGAATATTTGACCCTAAAAATGATAGAGATGCAGTCAAAAATTTATGTATAGGATGTTTGGCTTATCGTTATTTATAATAGTAACATTTAAAATAAACCAAATGTTCCACAATATAGGTTAAGTTAATTAAGGTTCAGCCATACGATGGAATTCTATATAGCCATTAAAATGTTTTATAGCAATATTAACTGACATACGAAAATGTTCATGACCTTAAAAATGGTTACCAAACAGAATATTTGGCATGAGCTTCTTTTAGAAAAAAAAGTATATAAACATTATATATACATGGTTAATATAAAAGACTGTCAGAACCACATCAACAATTGGTCATGCTGGGTTTATTTTCCATTGTATTAAGGGAGAACACATCATAGAGAACTAAGGGGCACTTCAATAAGAAAGGGTTGGAAAGAATATAGGTTTGTATTAAATGATTTTGGGAAAGGTTTAAGTTGGTGGGACTTGCTTGGATTGGATGTCATCAGCAAGGAGAGATGATTTTATGATTTGGGTGTTTTAGTAAATCTTTATCTAGAAGGAGAGAAGACCATAACAAGACTAAAGCTATAATTTTTTAAAAAGACCAAAATAGTCATGGACATTAGCCAGGCTAAGTACCTGCTAGGTTATTTGGACAAGATTCATGTTTTGTCTGGGTTCAGATATGATTATGAAGTGGTCCTCATTTTGCCTTAATCCATCATAGTTACAAAATGCCCTTATCTGACGTTAATGTTTTGGGAAATGGTTTATGTTCAACAAAAGAATGCCAAAGCTTAGTTTGTGAGTGCTAGCCCAAGGCCCAGCTGATAATACAAGGTCATATCCTGGATGTCAGGGACTGATTTTCTTTTCACACACACATATAAAAAGAAGACTATAATTATAATTAATATCGTTTATTATATGTTTGTGATATTTTAGGTGCTCTATTCTAAGTGCTTTACATCTTCTATTCTATTTAAATCATCACAAAAACTCTGTGGGGTAGCTGCTATTGTTATTCCCATTTTCCAGAAAGGAAAAACAGCGTCATAAAGAGGTGAATCTACTCACCTGATGCCTCACAGATAGTAAGTAGTAGAGCAAGGATTCAACTCAATGGCTATAGGAACAATAACTATATTATATTGCTTATATGCACAAGTAATTATCATCAGAGGTTACCCTTGAAAGGTGGTGGGTATACCAGGATACAGCTGTTTTTGTTTCCTTCTTGTTATTTTCTAAATTATCTTACATTAATATTAATTTTAATCATAAAAAGTAATAATTTATTAATGGACTGATGAAAACTCTTTTCCCAATGTTACTGTCCCAAATTCAAACCCAAGTCTTTGGTGGTGGCAATACTCCCTCCCCTGAAAGTATGAATCAAAGGAGAAGAAAAATAGTGAGTAGACAATTTCTCCCTCCCTGTCTCATTCTCATTCTTTTCCTCTCTCACCCATCTCCTCTATACAATTTAGACAACATAAAGGGCATTGCCGGCAATAAAAGATAAAAAAGGTGGCAGAAGATCTATCCTCAAGAGATTCCCCCTGAATCAAAACAAGCAGAGTGGAAGTTCCCCCCCAATATACATAAGGACAGTTAGGAATGGAGTTGGAAGGACTAGAAGACAAAGTCTTGGTCTCAAAGGAAAGGCCCTTTATGTGTGGGAGGACAACACTCCCACCCCTGCCAGCTGAGCAATGCTGAGTGTCTCCTGCACTAAAATGCAGCCCAGGCACTGAGAGAAGGCACTTCTGCTCTTCAGCCTGTGTAAGGGCTGGCATTAAAAGGCCGGAAATTCTAGGGATGAGGTTGAACCAAGGCTGGGGGGGGAATCATTTGGAAGGACAAAGACTTCAGAATGAAAAAAGCTTCGCCAAAATGTTTAAGCATCCCAAGTAGACCTGTGAGTTGCTTTTCTTTCTCTTACTTTTGTCCCTGCGCTGGTATCAGTGCACATGAAACAGCCTGCTCATTCTATGCGCAGAGAACGATTTTAGGCCTCTTGATAGGTGCCCACCCACTAGCTGCCGCTGGCTCAGTCGCAAAGAGCTGGGCTCACATTATTTCTCACTGCTACCCCCACCCCCAGCCCTTACAAGCCCTTACATCTTTTCGTCTGCCCCGGCTGGGAGCCACGCAGAGCATTCACCCTGCCATTTAGCACCTCGGCTACTCAACGCTGGGTAGTTTCTCAAAGCGCGTGTCCTAACAGTCACTCGCGCTCGCCTCACCGCTTGCAGGGGCACAAGTCAATGAGGCTTTTCCCTCCGCGATCATCGTGAATCAGCAAAGCGCTGCAGAGCAGCGGCGTCTCAGCAAGCAGAAATTAAGATGCTGGGGGAAGGGTACCAATGGAGTGTGGCAAGGGAATTTCTAGCCCCTTTCAATGTGTCCCTTCTGAGGATGGCAATAACGGTGCGGCACAGGGGGATGTTGGCTGGAATCGGCTGGACTTTGGCTTCCTAGGGACCCTTCAAAATCAGAGAGCCCAGTGCGGAAGAGCGAGGAAAAGCAGAGAAAGTGAATGAGATTCTGGTAGAAGGACCAAGGTAGCGCAGGCCGGGTAGGGCGAGAGTGCCCCCAGAGTGGGCAGCGCAGCGGTTGCAGGTGCTGCTGAGGAAATGTAGGGAACTGGGTTTGGTATGGAGGAAGGGATAAGAGGATCAAAAAAGGAGGATTTCCCAGCCTGCGGCTTCCTGTTTCCAATGTGCAAGTTCCCAAGTTCAGTTTGAGAAGTGCAGGGCCGCTCTGCGTTGGGGAGTCTGGGATACGAGCCTTACAGACATGCCTCTCTGAGTCGCGTTCTCCCACGGTGTCTGTCAGTCTCTCTCTCTCTCTCTCTCTCTCTCTCTCTCTCTCTCTCTCTCTCTCTCCCTCCCTCCCTCCCTCCCAGCCTCCCTCCTTTCCTCACTCTCCTTCCTTCCTTTTCCTCCTTCCGTCCCTATTCCGACTTCCTACAGCTTTAATTAATATGCATGTCCATGCTCAGTAGTACGGGCCACACTCCAGGGGCCGCGCCTCCTGCCGCCACCACCTCCCACTGGACCCTTGGCATTGGGAGGCCAAGCAGAAGCAACCAGAGGCGTGGAATGAGAAGGCTGAGCGCTTGGAGCCTGAGGACCCCTCCTTGAGCCCTGGTCCCCACCCCACCCCCAGTCGGATAGGGCGCCTCAGTGACCCAGTCTCCGGGATCTGGCTCTGTTTGCTTTGCAGCGAACCGACCCAGGGGCTTGGAGCGCGCAAAGAAACGCGCTAAATTGTACCTGTGCGTGGCCGTTCCCGCCGCCGCCGCAGGTCTATCTCGGGCCGAAGCCGGCGCCCGCCTTCTTGGGGAATTCTCCCGAGGGGGAGTGCGAGGGGAACCACAGTGGCTGCCTGCTAGCTCACTGCTGGCGCGCACACGCACACGCCCAACTTTGCCAAGCCGTCCGCGCCCCCCGGGCTCCCCCGCGCCCCCTGCGGCTCGACACTCTAGGAGACCTGTATCTCTCCAGGTCTGACATGAGGCTTCCCCCCACACACATGCACACCCTCCGGTGTGGAGGAGTAGAGGGCGGGGTGAGGCTAAAAAGGGGCTCATCGCTACATACTCCCTGACCAGACCAGCATTTCTCAAACACTCTATACCCGCAGGGGCACCCGCGCCAGCCCCGCCGCACCAGGTCCCCCAGACCTGCCAGTGACGACAGAGAGAGGAGGAGGGAGAAGGCAGGGCAGAGAGCCCAGAGCCCGGGAGCCCTGGCGACAGACGGTTCAACCGACTGTCATTCAGCACTTTTATTATCGGGGAACTGGGTGGGAAGGTGTGTGTGTGTGGGGGGGGGCGTTTGCAAGCAGAACTGCCCACTCTGGAGAGACCCAAAATTAGGGCGCTGGAGAAAGATTCTTCACGGACACATGTGGGGTGATTATGCTTCAGATGCACACCCGGACCCTGTGGTCCCGCCGAAGCTGCAGTGTTGAGGTTTCTTACAGGGCTCTTACTTGGGAGGAGGCGTGATTTCCACGCTTGAGCGTCTTCGCTCCCCACCCCCTCTCGGCACCAGCCAGTGCGCGCCACCACCTGAGCCAGGGAGAGCCAGGGCGCACGCAGTCTTCAGCTTGCTCCCTTCTGCCTCTAGGGAGACTTGGCTCTAAGCGGGTCTGCCCGACGCACCGCCACCCCGTCCCCCGCAAAGGGAGAACTCTTTTACTTTTTGTTTGGAAAATACGGGCCATTTCTTTATTTATCTCTGGGTCTCCCAGGAGGAGGGCGAGGGAAGGGAGGGCAAGCGTGGCGGGCCGGGCCGGGGGAGGGGATCTTGAGGAGGGGAGGGGACTGGGTGTAGCCTGGAATTCTCTGTCCTCGTGTTCCTAGGCTAGCGCTCAGAGTCTCCTGGCAATAGCGCTGCCGCCGCTCCCCGCGCCACCCCGTCGTTGGCTTCGGGGGTCGGGTGAGTGGGGTCATGACGCGCCGCTGGGGCTACCCAGGGCCCCGCCCGCGCTGAAAAGAAACGCGGTAGCGCCGCCCGGAGCCCCCCGGGCGGGGAGGCGGCGGGGGTTGGGGAAGGTGCACGGGGTAGGGCGGGGTGGGGGCGGCTCGGAGGCCGCCAGGCTGGGGGGCTCTCCGGGCGGGCGCGGCCGCGGGCAGGAGGGCGTGTCTCCAGCCGGAGGGGACCCTCCAGAGGCGCGGCGCGGGACTCCCCGATGGTGGTGCCGCGGCTCCAGGAGAGCTCAGGGTCTTGCCTCCGCCGCCGCCGCCGTCGCCGCCGCCGAGGGCGCCACCACCACCGCCGCCGCCGCCGCCGCCGCCGCCCGAGCCCGCGCCGAGCGTGCGCCTCGCCCTCCTCCCGCGCCCGCTCTGCTCTAGGATGCTGCGGCAGGTTCTGCACAGGGGCTTGAGGACGTGTTTCTCCCGGCTCGGCCACTTCATTGCCAGTCACCCGGTCTTCTTCGCCTCGGCGCCGGTGCTCATCTCCATCCTGCTCGGCGCCAGCTTCAGCCGCTACCAGGTCGAAGAAAGCGTGGAGCACCTGCTGGCGCCCCAGCACAGCCTAGCCAAGATCGAGCGCAACCTCGTCAACAGCCTCTTCCCGGTCAACCGCTCCAAGCACCGGCTCTACTCGGACCTGCAGACCCCTGGGCGCTACGGCCGGGTCATCGTCACCTCCTTCCAGAAAGCCAACATGCTGGACCAGCATCACACCGACCTGATCTTAAAGGTGAGAGGGGGACGGGTGCAGGCAGCCTCCGCCAGCGCCGCTGTCGCGGCAAGGCTGGCACTGCGCGGGGTCCCAGCTGAGAGCGCCGCCTCTCCTATCCCAGGCGGTTGGTGCAGGGGCTCCCCTGCATTGCCTGCCCCAAGGCGGCCGCTTGGAGCCTCCCAGCCTACCCGATAGGGAACATCGGGGTCCGGGCCCGGCCCTCTGCGGCCACCCCACAGCTGCTGCAACAGTTGGGGCGGCGGCGGCGGCCACGGTGCTGTGGTCGGTGCGCTTGTTTTGGTCACAGCGGGCTTGGGGGCAGGGAGGCTTTGGAGTAACTGGGCCAAGGAGCAGCTGAACGAATGAGAAGACATTCAAAAAAGTCTTGCTACTTGACAACAAAATAGTCTGTTTGGCGGCGGCGGGGGGTGGAATGGGATTTAGAGACACCTCACCCCTTTCCTCAGTTTTGTTTTGTTTTTTTTTTTTTTTTTTCCTCCTTTCCTCTAATCCCGAAGTGTTTTGGGAAAGGCTGCTGGAGGGGGATTGGGAGGGGCAGAGAAATTTGAAGCGGGCTGGTGAGAAAATGCCTCCCACCAAGAAAAAAAAAAGTACGGTCTCAGGCGAGGACGGGAGCTGCCCTGCTGCCCTCTCCTCCAGGAGCAAGGTAGCCATATCTGTATTAGGGGGTAGGAAATGATGTTTGTAATTTGCAGTTATTTCGTTTTTCACAGTAGTTCCACTCCTCTGAAATGCAAAAACTTCCTTGGGAAAAGAGGAAAACAATCGATCTACTTGTATTTGTGTGCATTTGAGCGTCGGGTCGGGGTAAGGGGCACAGGCAGAAGGCTGAGGGCAGCAGCCAGGTTGTGTGGCTCTGAGAAGAGCACAGGAAACGGAGCAGCTGGTTAGAGGGTGACACAGAAATCCGTTGTGCCATCAGCCCAACCCGAGGTGGGAATCTGATGTGAAAAGTAAGGTTAATTGTGGTAACTTTCAAGAAGTTCCTAAGAAAAGCAGAGGAGTCAGCACTATACATGGAAAAGTAGAAACCTTGAGGAACAAAAGCCAAAACAGGTGAGAATGTTCCATCTGAATCCCTGGGGATTGTGAGGTTTGTTTACTTCAAGTTCTCCTCTGGGGAGGGCAGACAGGAACCAGTCCCAGATGTGATATTTGTGCCAAAGATGGAAGATGCTGCTTTTGTGTGGGTTTCTCTGGTCCAGATCTGAGACTAGAAACCAGTCAGATTTTTAGTCCACTTATCCCAAGGAGAGACTGCTAGTGAACCTAGGGAACACTATCTACCTCTTTTCCTCTCCAGGTAACTGCTTATCCCTAAGAGAAAAGCTAATTTTCCTCTATTATTTCCTTCCCCTGTTAACACATTATCAATCAGCAATTAGTAGAGAGAAGAATCTGGCTGGGGACTCCACAGAATTAGCACCTTCCACATTGAGTGGTTCATGATATTTTTAATGGCACAAAAATCATCACACACGTTCACTTAAAGCAGAACCTTATTAACATTAATCCTGAGATGTTTGCTTTTCTCATGATTATACTTTCAACATCAGAGTAGGGTTTTTTTCAGTACTTCAGTGAACATATTTTGACACACAGATAAATACTGCTCCAAATGCTCTCCCAAGAAATATGTAGTAGATTCATCACAGGCTAAAGGAAACTGTAATTTAGCCAGTTCTGACAGTTGGAAATGACCCATTTTTTGATCGATGATCTACTAAGTGATGTTTCTCTTTGTATTTTTTTTCCCTGAGATGCTTCCATTGGCTTTTTCCCCCCCTAACAAACCATCACGCCACTGTGACAGGCAGTCACCAGTCACATTCATTCTCAAGGTTAATGAGACATCAACAGGCATATCAAATCTTTTTTTCAACTGGATTCTTTCTCCCTATTTAATTTTGATCAGTTCAGGACAGAAAAGCTTATTATAAGAGAAGGTTGAGACTAGATAGAGTGAAGCTGGCTTTGCCTCCTTGTATAAAAGGCAACTTTAAAGGACAGTGGTCGAGTCAGTGGACTGTTTTAAGAAATGAGGTGCGTTTTTCATGTTCTAGATGTCTTGATAAAATCAAAATCAAGGCAAATAGCAGTCAGTACTCAATTCTAGCCAATGGCTCTGTGGTCAAATGAGTTCATACAGTTTATAAAAACCCATACTTATGAACCTAGGGAACTGCCTTCAAAATATGCATTTTTCTTTCTACATCCAACCCCTATTTTTGGTAGGTATAGAACAGGGGGATAGGAAAATGGACCTTCAGTAGTCATGGTAATGTAAAGTGTGGGAGTAAGCACTTATTTTTTTTTTCTCTTTTATTTTCCATTTGGAAACACGATGACTTGTCCTTTACAAAAAGTGTTAGGAGTGAAAGAGTCATTGCTACTGTATTACTAGGGTTATTCTGAAACTTTGTTGCTGGCATCAAGGACAGCACCAACAATTAACACTACACAAAACCCAGCAATCTCTGTTTTGTGGCATCACATTTGAAATAAAATGAAATGGTCAGAATATAAGCAGGGCTTGGGAGCTTTCTCAGGACTACCAAATCAGAGGAAGAAACTTATAGGGCTGTGTAGGGTACTTCACAGATAATGTTCCTCTCACAATGTTTTGGAGTTGAACCTATTCATCGAACCTACCCTTCTTAGGATATTAGTGTAGCTACTTGATGACCTAAAATAGACTGGGGGGGGGGGGGTAATGACAGAAAATGAAAAAAAAACCAAGTTGACTTTTTATAAATGTAATTGAGAATATCACAGAAAAAATATTTGAAAATCCTAGTGATCTGGTTCAAAGGTGTATTCTCAAATTTGTTCAAGTAACACAATTATACTCTGATTCTATAATCTAGAATTTGACCTCATACTATGAGGGAAGTCACTCTCCCTAGCAATGGTTTCCTCTGAAGATTTCGGAGCAAAGATGTAATTTTGGGCAAAATGGATGGAACCTAAGGGTGCCGGTAAGGGTTCAACTATTAATTTCTGAACCTCTTTCAATAAGTGTTGATCTTCAAAGTCTTCATTTCACTAGAAAATTAAGTTTGGCTCATTATATTTTTGACAGAAAATCCACAGGGTTCATGTCATAGCAAATTTCAGAGTAGGGCCTCACAAGCTTTATGGATATTTTTTCATAATCAGCTAACATGAAATAGAAGATCACATTTATAATTGATCTGGGTTATAACCAAGACAATATTTGATTTATCCCAAAATCATATATGTCAAATATTGGTGTAGCTAACTCCTTATGCTTATATTATCACCTTTATACTACTTTTTAGGTTATAAACATATAGTATGTTTAGATGTAATATACTTGGGAAAGTGTCATTATCTCATTTTATAGATGAGAAAAGCATTCCTTAGAAGTTAACTGACTTATTCATGGAAAAAACACAAGGACAGAACCAGGACAGTGATACAGGGTTTTGGACTCCAAGCCTAGTGCTTTTTTTCACTATAATTCTCTGCCTTTCATATGATAAACTACTTGAATGAATTAAAATGTACATTTTTGTTACCCATGTTAAATATATTTGACCCAAGTCTTGTATCCCATCCCACACTACCGTTCTTTCAGTGATCATTGGATGATAAGTATATTTTCATGATTTTGTCTGATGTCAATAAATTCTACATATAGAAATTTCAGATGCTCAAAGTAAAGCATTAGATATTTGTATTTAGCTATATACAAGATAGAAAGAATATTTACTGGAAAAAAATCACTGGGTATTTGAACATAGCTGTTTCCTATAGGCATGTTTTTCTTTAGCAGGGTCCAGGTGGATTCAAGTCCAGTGCATCAAAAAGTCCCTGGCAGATAGTCAATAAATACTTGTTGAATGGACCTTCCCTAGTTTGCTAAAACATTTATGTGATTATTAAATAAAATTATCCATAAACTACTTTAAAATATATTTTCAAAATGACATTTTTATTTTTACAGTTTTACTGGCAACTTTTAGGCTTTTTTTTTTTTTTTACCAAGACACCATTTTCCATTCCTTGATAATATCTATAGGCATATCAAAACATAATTTGGTTTTAAAATTGGGTAGGAACATTTCCTTTGTTCAATGCCTTCTTCAGAGGATGTTTACTCCCAAACCAAGGGAAGGACACATCCTTACTAAGCAGATGTTCTTCCACGTCTGTTCAAATATCAAGTCTGTTTTATTTGTCCTTTACATTTAAATACATTAAATAGAATTAAATTATAAGCAAGATTAATAGAATTTAACTTGGAGTTATTTAAATCAGGCTTTCCAAGTAGGACAGCATAACTGCTAGCTAATGGTCATGAAGACCTGGTAGCTACATTAAGATCCTAATATTTCCAAAAACTATCTGAACACTTTCAATTATTATGGCAATTCATCATTTCTTCCTTTACAATCTAAGTTAAGCACCTAAGCAACCTACCAAGACCCTGCCTCAAAATAAAATAAAAAGGGCTGAGGATGATGCTCAGTGATAAAGAGCCCCTGGGTTCAATTCTCAGTACCAAAAACAAAAACAAAAAACAACTAAGTTCAGCAAATTCAAGCCTAGTTTTGAACTTAAATGCTTTTACATTTTTAAAAGATTTTAAAAATATAAAACAAAGAAGGCTATGCAGCAGGGTCTATAGGTGGCTCACAAAGCCTAAAATATTTACTATCTGCTTCTTTGCATACAAACTTCCCATGCTGAGTTCCAAAATTCCATTACTGGAGCCATTTTAGGATGTCAGTACTGATGAATTAACCTGGAAGGCAGTAATTCTCAGCTGGGGGAGGTCATTTTGCAATGCCTGAAGACAATTTTTGGTTGTCACAATGGTGGTGATGGGCAGGCTGTACTTTTGACATCTAGTGGGAAGAGGTCAAAGATGCTGTATGGTGTAGTGCACAGCATAGCCCCCAGAACAGATAATTGTCTTTCCTCAAATGTCAGTAGTGCCAAAGTAGAGAAATCCTTCTTATGTTTTTGTT